GAGTATCAAAGTTTTACATAGAAATATATAGGAAGAACCTTTAAAAATCTTCTTCTCAAGAACAGCAAAGACAAGGTGAGTCGTATTTATATAGAAGCATCCTCAGGTAGTGTAGATTCAAGTTTGTTCAAATCATGACCCCCGGGGGTAGGGCGGGGCCTCAATGGAGGATCAAAGTTTTACATAGAAATATATAGGAAAAACCTTTAAAAATCTTCTTCTCAAGAACAGCAAAGCCATATTGAGTCATATTAATATAGAAGCATCCTCAGGTAGTGTAGATTCAAGTTTGTTCAAATCATGACCCCCGGGGGTAGGGCGGGGCCACAATGGAGGATCAAAGTTTTACATGGAAATATATAGGAAAAACCTTCAAAAATCTTCTTCTCAAGAACAGCAAAGCCATGACGAGTCATATTTTTTTGGAAGCATCCTCAGGTAGTGTAGATTCAAGTTTGTTCAAATCATGACCCCGGGGGTAGGGTGGGGCCACAATGGAGGATCAAAGTCTTAAATAGAAATATATAGGATAACATCTTGGAAGCATCCTCAGGTAGTGTAGACTCAAATTTGTTCAAATGATGACCCCTGGGATAGGGAGGAGCCACAATGGGGGATAAAATTTTTACAAAGGAATATATGGGAAATTTTTATGACGTCGAGCTCTTGGAGCTCGAACGTCATCTAGCGATCGGCCAAGTGAAATCGCCAAGGGATGTACGCGACCGAATGTGTCAGTGGATGCATCCGCAATAGAAAATAGCAATAGCTATAAACCAATTTCTTTTAAAACGCTCACAATGAATAATTATAGCTTGAAAATGAAATTGCATCAATTGTATCTACAATTAATTCTTTTACAAAACAACGATATTATGTTTTATTTTCACACAATAAAAACGTGATGGTTGTTGCGGATGAATTTCTACAGAAAGGTGCGTCGAATGACATGAATAACATTTTGGAACGATAACCGTGGAACACAAACAACCCAACAGGCGGTAAAATAATTTACAAAATTACATAAACACGAATACTATAAGACTGAAAAGATTGAATTTGTAAATCTTAGCTTTACTTTTACAATCTTCTGACCAACTTTATCCTAAAAACCGATGATGTTGACCAGTATTACTGTATTTCTCTATTTCCTCCATTTCCCAGTATACCGTATACCACGCCCGATCGTAACTCGATCGTAATTGTAACAGAACAGTCTTGGTTGTAGTTTAGATGCAATCACTAATACAACGCTTTGACATTGGCAATTAGAAAAAATATTATATAAATTTATGAAATCCTTCATAGTTCTTCAACTGACTGAAAAGAATTTAGCATGAAACATGTTCGACGGTGTCTGGTCAATTCGAACCCTGCTCCATTCGGACCATGACATAAGGCCCCAGACTGTAATTGTGATATTTTGTTTAAAACTATTTTTTTAATTATTTCTCCTGAGTCACTCACTTGACTTATTGCTATCTTCAAATTCAAAATGATCTTTTGAAATTGTTTTTCTTCTTCGACGTCATTGAAGCCTTTCAGGCTTTTGATTTTTGAACATCTCAAGTACAAGAAAACCATTTGTTATATTGACATGGAAGCATCATCAGGTAGTTTAAAATTCAAGCGCCCCCCCCCCCCCCCCCCCGCACGCGGTGGTAATCTTTTCAATACTGAACTCATTTGTGCTTTTGCCCAGCCAATGTGCTCAGGTGAGCGATGTGGCCCATGGGCCTCTTGTTTTTCTTTTTAAAGGATTTTATTTAATACAGGGATGGGAACAATGTATATTAGGTGGTGTAAATTGAGGCAATTGTGGTAATTTTTCTTGATCACATTTTTCCCCCTCAGATGAGATTGGATGACTCACAGATTAAGGAGGAACATGACCTGAAATTAAGACTACAGCAGGAGCTGGAATTATTAATGGCATATCAAAGCAAAATCAAAATGCAATTGGAAGCCCAGCACCTACGAGAACGCAAAGAGTTGGAGGAAAGAGTGTCGCTACGAAGGGCCCTCTTAGAGCAAAAGGTTAGAGTCAGTATTAAGTCTGTTTATAGTAATTGAGACATGGTGTTGGCCTAACGATGTCACTTTTTGCATGGCTTTTGATTTGAGATTAAGCCGTAACTCAGAAGAGATAAACAGTATGTAAGTGATCCAAGTCAGGTATTAGCATTACAGTACAACACGCTTATAGCGAACACGCTTATAATGAATTGATGCTTACAGCAATGTGATTTTCATTCCCCGTGACTCTAAAATACGTTTGAACCTAACGGATATAATGAATTACACTTATTACGAAGCAAAATCATCCAGTCCTGTCACTTTGTTATAAGCGTGTGTTACTGGATATAAGTTCATTAGTTTGTCATAAATTGACCAAGTAAGCTGGCACAGGTGTTCAATCAGAGATTATAGTTCATGTGTTGTATGTCTTTCATTTAGGATCATTTGGACATGTCTAAAGCCAGTGGCAGAAAATGTGGCACACTGTTTGAGAATATGTACACATAGATTTTTTAAAATTTTACATACATGTATATGTAATTATTTAGTGAAATCACTGGATCCTCCTATTAATTCCTGAGAACATAATATCACATACACATTGAAAATATACATTATGTATTAAAATTCAGTAGAATATTTAAGTATCAGTATGTACTAAAATTTGCTAGAGTACATTGTAATTCAACATCCTATTACACTGCATGTGGACAAGGCTGGATTTCTGCAAGAAATCTGCTTATCAGAAATAAATACAGGTAAATGAAAAACAATGAAATAAATCAATTGTAATAAATGATAATCACTAAGAAAGAAGAAAATTATATCTTCATGATATGCACACACAACCTGATATCTTTCTGAGTTTAATTCTCTTTCAAACGTGCAGTAAATATCAAGAGTAATAAAATTTGGAACCTAGATTTCATGAGATACGCCTTTCTGACATGACTCTACAAGATAAAACAAGTAAATTTTTCATAGATGATGAAGGAACTAACAAGTATCTTAGAGAAAAGAAAAAAAAGGCATGCTGATTTTGAATAAAGAGACCAAACTGTTAAGTTAGGCTATATCATTAAATTATCATATTTCAAGAGACAAAGTTTCTTCTCAGGACATTGTCATAATTAGAGTTCATAGTACAAGTAGAATAGTCACTTGGCAACACTTTTAAAATTTCTTAAAATGTATTAATTAGGGCCCCGCATGAAAATTGTCCATCTGTCCGTCAACACTTTTGTTGTGATGCAGTAGCTTATTTTTCAATGAAACGTTTTCAAATTTTGTACATAAATACTTTATTACCGGTATAAGAGCAAGACATCTATAGATTTTGGGGTCATATAACTTTGTCAGTCTGTCTCTAAGTATGTTCGGATGTTTATCCATGACACTTTTGTTGTGACGCAATAACTCAGTTTTCAACAAAAGGTTGTCAAATTTTACATGAATACTTTACCAAAAGAGCAAGACACCTATAGATTTTGGAGTTACATCAGTTTGTCTCTCTGTCCGTACTTTTGATAACTCAAACATAACTCAAACAGTTTGAAATGTGATGTATTCAAAACTTGTACATCAAGTATTTTACTAAAAGAGCATTTTGAGGTCAGTCCATCTGTTTGTCCTCCCATCTGTCTATCAACACTTTATTGTGACACAATTACCCAAACAGTTTTCATCAAAATTTTTTCAAAATTTTGTACATTAGAACTATAAGACTATAAGACTTGACTATAAGACCAAGACTCTATAGATTTTGGGTCATATCACCTTGTCTATCTGTCTGTATGTATATTATATTTGAATGTTTATCTATGACTCTTATGTTGTGGCATGATAACTCAGCTTTCAATGTAACATTTTCAAATTTTACACAGAAGAATTTTACTATAAGAGAAAGGTTGTTATAATTCTAAGGGTCATAACACTTTATCTGTCTGTATGTATGTATACCTGAAAGTACATGTATATCTAACAGCCCTTAGCAGGGCCCTCTCTGACTTGGTCAGTCTTCTAGTAATGTCTCCTAAAGGTATTTTATATTGAATATTTATAAACTTTATGCAATTTTTCAGATGGAGGATGAAAGAAATAAATTTAGTGCAGAAAGAACAAAACAGATTCGTGCTTTACAAGAAAGACAGGAGAGAGAAATTGAAATATTTGATGAAGAGACAGATCAAATGGGAATGAACTCAGCTAAAGTGGCAGAGGCATCAAATGATGGCAGTTTTGATGATGAAGTCAGTCTGCGGGGCAGCATGATCAGTCTGACCCCAAGCAGTAGTAGCAGTTCCTTCCAATCCCAGGCCTATAATACATAAAAAAAAATAACATATAACGTCTGTGTAGCATACATTGTAATTGTAAACTCTCAACCAATACCAATGTTTTATCACCAAGGCAATCAAAGCATCATAGTTTTTTGAATATTTCCACCCAGCAAAAAGGGATGAGATTTTATTTTAGGAGGAAAGTCACTTTTCTTCACACTTCCATAACTATATACAAATAAGAATATGTGATTCCCATATCATGTGATTTTAATGAGATTTTAGGAGGAAAGTGTTTTCCGGCCAAGATGAGTAAAAGATCAAGTTTGATGTACTCCAAGTAAATTGTCTGTGGTGATGAGTGAAATGTGAAATATCTTAAAATCATTCTTGAAAAAGTTGGTGCATAGCACATATTGGTCAAACAGTTGCTGTGAGACCAGTGTGCACAGACCGGTGATATGAGATCAGTGCTAATGCAGGTTGTTACCCATTACTTTGGGTATGGAGGTCCAGGAGAAAAAGGAAAAGTCAGCTTACAGCAAGGAATTTAGTATGCAACAAGCTGACTAAACAATTTAAACAAAAGCAATATTGATTTTTTGTTTCAGATTATCACAGAATGTTATTATAATAACAATGATTACATGTGAAAATACTAAACTACAAATTATTATGACAATAAATATATAGTATAAAATTTGTGGCCAGTACTTGTTCTTTAAGAGGTGATTTCAACAATACAGTAAAATACGCTTACAGCAAAGTGCCAGGGACAAACTTTTGCTTATAAACATATAATTCATTATATCCATAATATCCATGAAGTTCACAAAACATTTAAAAACCATAAATGAAAAGGAATGCACTGTGCTTTGAGTGTGCATTCATAATAAGGGTTTTTGCTGTAAGATGTTTTACTCTATTTTTTCACAGTTTTTAGGTCACCTGAGTTGCATTCTTCACACAATAAATGAGAATGAGAACATTCTTCAAATGTTACTAAGCAAATGTCTGCAGGTACATTGTCATGGATGTATGTTGCATTTAGTTGACAATTCTGCAGTGAGAAAAAAAGGTTCATCTTGACATATTTTGTTGGCAGTGCCAAACGGTACAGGTGGATGATAATATGTTCAGTGAGGGTAGGTATGTTATGTCTCTGGTGACAATATGTACAGAATGACATATGTACTGTCACAAACTCTCTACCAAACTTGTAAAATTCAATGCACCAGGGTCAGGGGTTTTGCAGTTAGGGTGGGGAGCTATTGATCGTATACTGAAAATGCCTAAATTCTTTAAAAAGCTTCTCTCCCCCTGTTTATTTACATGTAGCATGGAGATGATGAGTAAGGTGCCTCTTCCAAAATAGATAATGGCCCCTGGGTCAGGTGTTCTGGTGCTAGGGCTTTATAATTGATTATATCATGAAAATGCATTATTTCTTTGAAAAATCTTCTCTGCCCCTTGGTATTAAGCAAACAAACTAAATTTAGGGTTATGATGAGCAAGAATGTCTCTTCTGAAATTGTGAATTTCTTGGCCCATGGGTTAGGGGTTTAGGTTTAAGGGTGGGGCTCTGTTGATTATATTATGAAAATGTATTATTTCTTTGAAAATTTTCTCTGCCCCTGTATATTAAGTGCATGCAAATGGGATGCCTTTTCCAAAATTGTGAATTTTATGGCCCCTGGGTCAGATGTTGAGGTTTAAGGGTGGGGCTCTATTGATTATATTAGTGAAAATGCTTATATGAAAATATTATTTTATGTTCCTGGGTATTGAGCAAAAAAGTTAAGTACATGTTTTTATGGGCAAGAGTCTTTTTTTCTAAAGTTGTGAATTTCATGTCCACTTGGTTGAAGTTCTGGTGTTAGGATGGACGGGGCTCTGTCGATTATATAGTGAAAATTCATTATTTCTGTGAAAATCTTGGGCATCTAGGAGGCAAACAAGATTACCAAAGTTTTAATGAGCAAGGGTGTTTTATCTTGTGAAATTCTGGTGCTTGGCAGGACTCTTGAAGGGAGAATTTTACTCCACAGAGAGAAGTTATTCCCCTCTACTATTCACCTTTTGTAATTAATTACTGTTTAAGATGTAATTGAAGGTACATCAATTGAATCAGTTAATTATGCAAAATTTTGAATGTATAATACAAAAAGTAATTTTATGGTTTTTAATGGTAGGTAGTCTTGTAAGTAATAAATAAAAATACATTACCTTTGTACATTAAATATTCTTCAAAGACTAAGAGAGGCCAATTTGAGAGAATATGACGGGTTAACAGTATGTGCTCAAGCATTATTGTAATGTTTGACTGCTGTTAGCGACAAATGGGAGTGTATTAGCACTGACAAGTGTAGGCATGTAAATTGATCTACTAAATGATTTTTAGTGAGTATTAAATTATAATTTGTTATCACTGATCATCCTATGTCTCTTGCTTTTGGGCAGCATATTTTCATCTCTCAGTTTATTTTGTTTTATGTTATACTTTTTTTGATCCTTTATAGTGTTGAATATACTCAGGTGACCTTTAAGGCCCTTGAGCCCCCTCAGATCCAAGTGAATTCTGATCATCCACTGTCCATCTGTCTGTCAGTCAACTTATTAAGAACCATATTAACCGAAGTTGGTACATAGTATCCCTGTCTACGGGAGATTCTAATTTGTTCAAATGAAGGGCCAAGTCACCCTTCCAAGGGGAGATGATCAGAAGAGGAAAAAAATAGGTTGGGATCATTAAAAAATCAAAAAACAAAACAAAAAAAAACCCCAAAAAACACTAGAAAAGAAGAGAAGAGAGTTTTGTGGAGCACAAGAAACGTCCGTTTAAGTTTGGTCGAAATTACCCCTACTGTTTTTAAGGACGCGGGGTAAATTCGACTTCTTAAAGATGTGAAGGTTATCTTTAACAGCTGTTTAATGCAATGCAGATCTAGTTAGATCTTTAAAATGAAATTTAATACACTGTATATGACAATATTATGTACATATTACCTTTTAATTAAAAGAAAATAATGTAGGATTAAGTAACATATGCATGCCTAGATATATATAGAGAGCTCTATTGTCAAGACTGAGGGTGCATCACTGATCAAGGTGCGAGAGAATTCGGAGTCGGCACTTGCTATGAAATAACACATGACGAGCGCAGCACAAAAGATTTCAAAAACTGTCAAATTAATAAAAGAGAGGATGCAAGAAATATTAAATATGTAAAAAAAAAAAAAAATCTAGTTTTTGTAGTTTCTTTATTATCACGAATGCGCTTGACGGACAAGACTTTGAGGCTATCGAAGAATCAACGAACCAGCGGTATTGATTTAAATATATTTTATTGAAACACAATCAATGGGATTGGACACAAGTTATTCCAACTTAGATTGTCCTCTCCAACACAAACAAAATGACAAAAACAGATACACGTGATGTACAACCAACAAATGTACAATACAAAAAAAGACAAAAGAAAAAGGTGCAGAGAAAAAAAGAAAGGAAGGGAATAGGCGTGCAAGGAGAGAAGGAAGAAGGAAGGGGTTGTAACAGATACAGAATGGTTACGCTGGTTATTCGTAAAAATCTTTTGGATTTTTTTATATACTTATGTACGGCTTTAACAATGTTGATATTATTTTGCTTACACAGTTTGGGTCCCCAAATAGAATTATGTCTCGATTTATTGCTCCTTGAATAGGAAAAACAATACTCCTTTTTTTAAGTTTGACGTATTTTAGAATAAAAAATCTTTTTCTCCGGATTATTATCTTGTGACACACGGAGTACTTAATATTTTCCAATCGCCACACGTAATGTCATAAGATCATTACCCATGATCTAAGACGTCAAATCTAAAGAAGTAAAGAAGGGTGATTCTCGTGCAGCGACGGCAGACAAGAATGTCGACTTCATTCATACAGCGTAACGCTTGAGTAACCAAAGAGTAAAGAGGGGCTATGGTGCAATGATAAAGTGAGAGAATAGTGAGATAGAAAGAAACAAAAAGCATTAACAAGGAGAATAGTTGAAGAACTGGGGATAAATAAAAGATCAGTAAGAACCCAGAGCAAAGCATGGGCATGCAAAGAAGATAGAAGGAAGGTAGGATAAATGTGTGTTCGTATGTAATTTAGAAATTTACATAAAATATATACAGTCATACAAAATTAGTAATGTAAGTGTTCATAAAAAAAACATTGCTGTTTGCTTTAAATGTTTTTTTTATCTTTTAGAAATATTTTCTATAATATTTTGGGAAAAATAACTAGAATTCAACTCAATTCAATTCAATTCAATTAGTTTATTTACCAATTAAGGGCCCTCATGGGGCAAAAAGAAAGTACATTGTAAATTAACATTTATATATAGTCATATACATGTAATACAATTTACATACACACAAGAGAGAAAGAGTTGCATGATTGATAGGAGAAAGACATAAAAAGAAGGAATAACCAGATAGTTTTTATACATATGCTTGTACATAAATTCTGCACAAATAATACCATACATCATATGTATGCAAATTTACATATATATATCATACACATATTGAAGTACGTATTTTTTGCATAATTTATCATGAAACAGTTCACATGCCTTAGACTTGACTTATGGTAATGCTTTTTGTAAAAATCTTCCGAGAGAATTCAAAATAACTAATTCCTCACAGTTTAGAATCCAGAATAATTTTTATTTATCAGGCAATTTTGTAAAATGTTTTACTTTGGATGAGATTAAGTTAAATAGGTCTTCTATTTCCTTTGTAAATTTGCTACAGTGAATAAGGAAATGTTCTTCATCTTCAATTTGATTAAGCATACAATTTTTACATATTCTTTCTGTTCTAGGTGTGTTATTATATCTGCCTAATTATATAAAGAGTCTGTGTGCTGACACACATAATCTACAAATTGGCTTTCTGTATTCAGGTTTTAATAAAATTAAATATTTTTCTAGTCTAAAATTGTTCTTCAGAAACAAATAAGTGACAAGTTTACCCTCTTTTAGTGTTTCATTTAAGTACTGCCAATCCACAGAGTATTTTTTTTTATCTGGGATTGTTTGAATGAAGTTACAAATTTACTCTTAGTATTTGACATAATGTTTGGAATATCAAGAATTCTTAGTAATTTTTCTATTGAGGAATACCAACTTGTTCTTTTGGTGAGATGAAGTTCCTTACTACATATGAATGCATCTTTTAATAAAAGAAAATCTTATGTTAAATTTTCTAGTCTGTAGCAGTATTTAAGTAATCTATTGACAATATCATAATGTAAAGGATATCCACCCAGTTCTGAAAGAGAAGCGTGGTTCATACTTTTCCTATTCAAACCTAATATAGTTTTACAGAATTTGATGTGTAAATTTTCACCTATAAAGTTTTTGTAGCATAGTTGCATCAATACATCATCAGATTGCTTTATTTTTGAATTATTAACATTAAATATACCCCATATTTCTGAGCCATAAAGTAATATAGGTTTAATAGTGTGATCAAAGACATTTAGACTGGTGGATATCCCAGGATTTAAGCTAAGGAAATCTTTTCGTAGTTTGAAGAACGCTTTTAGTCCCTTTTGTATAACTCAAGTTTAGCCATTGAGAAAGTCCCCGAGGCTGTGAAATGGATGCCTAAGTATTTATAACTTGATACACATTCAATATTGAAATTTTTGTAATGAAATTTATGT